CAGCAAGCTTATATATATAAATATATGGCTTATATATATATATATATATATATATATATATATATATATATATATATATATATATATATATATATATATATATATATACTGTTTATTTTATTTAAGAAAAGTTATTTACATAAAGTACACTCACCGGTCACTGTATTAGGTACACCTGTCTAACTGCTCAATGCAAATTTCTAAACAAAGCATGTACACATGACCAAGACGATCTGCTGCAGCTCAAAGCGTGCATCAGAATGGGGAAAAAAGGGGATTTAAGTGACTTTGACTTTGTTGGTGCCAGACGGGCTGCTCTGAGTATTTCAGAAACTGCCAACTACCATCTCTAGGGTTTACAGAGAATGCTCCGACAAAGAGGAAATATCCAGTGAGCGGCAGTTCTGTGGGCGCAAATGCCTTGTTGATGCCAGAGGTCAGAGGAGAATGGCCAGACTGGTTCCAGCTGATAGAAAGGCAACAGTAACTCAAATAAGCACTCGCTACAACCGAGCTCTGCAGAAGAGCATCTCTGAACACACAACACGTCCAACCTTGAGGCGGATGGGCTACAGCAGCAGAAGAGCACACCGGGTGCCGCTCCTGTCAGCTAAGAACAGGAAACTGAGGCTACAATTCACACAGACTCACCAAAACTGGACAATAGAAGATTGGAGAAACGTTGCTGCTCTGATGAGTCTCCATTTCTGCTGACACATTCAGATGCTCGGGTCACAATTTGGCATCAACAACATGAAAGCATGGATCCATCCTGCCTTGTATCAGCGGTTCAGGCTGGTGGTGGTGGTGTAATGGTGTGGGGGAGATTTTCTTGGCACACTTTGGGTTCATTAGTACCAATTGAGCATCAACGCCACAGCCTACCTGAGTATTGCTGCTGACCATGTCCATCCCTTTATGAGCACAGTGTCTCCATCTTCTGATGGCTACTTCCAGCAGGATAACGCAGCATGTCATAAAGCCTGAATTATCTCAGACTGGTTTCTTGAACATGACGATGAGTTCACTGTACTCAAATGGCCTCCACAGTCACCAGAGCTCAATCCAATAGAGCAGCTTTGGGATGTGGTGGAACGGGAGATTGGCATCATGGATGTGCAGCCGACAAATCTGCAGCAACTGTGTGATGCTATCATGACAATATGGAGCAAAATCTCTGAGGAATATTTCCAGTATCTTGTTGAATCTCTGCCATTAAAGATTAAGGCAGTTCTGAAGGAAAAAAAGATCCAACCCGGTAATAGTAAGGTGTACCTAATAAAGTGGCCGGTGAGTGTATATAGTCAATTTTACAAAAGTTTCTTTCAATTCTGGCGATCAAATAACATACACACCCACTATTAACATCATTATAACATCATACAGTTTCAGGCTTTTGTACAGTTTGTTTTGTGCACATGATACAGCTAATTTTAAACATTATACACGCGTCACGCCGGCTGCCATCCTGCGTGCTGACGTACGGAGGGTGTGTGCGTAGGGGGCGTGGCCAGCGTACGTCATGACGCTGTGATAACAGTGACACCGATCAGCAGCTCTATATCGGAATTTGAGCGCTTTGGAGACACAGAAGAGGAAAGTAAACCCGTGAAGTCAGCAGCTTAAGCCTTTCTCTGTTTTCCACAGCCGGAACACGAGGACACTTCCCGCCACAGCGAGAACAATGGCGGTTTTAGGAGGCGCGTGCCGGCTCGTGCAGCGTAAGTGTGTTTACCAGTCTCCACACACACATGACATTCACACACACACAGTCACTCTCTCCGAGGTCATTATATAATCCACAGGTTCATTAAAGACGCAGAATGAAGGGTGTGTGAGGGCTAAAAATGAGCTGTGTTTTTGTCAGCTCTCTTCATGAAGGTTAAAGTGTTGGTGACTTTATTTCCTGCAGTTTTCCAGCTTCTAATTCAGTAATGGCGCAGTTGAAGCACGTGTTTTTAAATCTGCATTAATGTGCACGAGGTTTACATGCAGTGTTAAGCAGGAGTTAAAGTTTGCGAGGCGTTTAACATCATGTTACACAACACACGCTTTCACAACTTGCGTAACTGCGCCAACAGCGCCTCCCGGCGGCCGCGCGGCGCCACTGCAGCGCTCTCACTCGGTCAAAATAATTATTAATTTTAGTTTAATTATTTTAAATTCTGATTCTTGCACGTTTTATTTTATTTAAAATTTTCTCTCAGTAAATGTATAAAACAGACATGCTTATCGTAATGAATTTCTGTTATGTTCAAGAGGACAGAAGAAATTATAAAGGATATTTTTTGATTGTGCAAGTCGTAATATTCTGTTATATATTATAAATAAATATAATATACATATAAAAAATGACAAAACTATGCAATAAAATATTTAAAAACTAGTAATATACACAATAGCCACATATGTGTATAATGTAATGTTGTGTGTGTTTGTAAAATATAATTAAAGTATACATGAAATAGTTTATTATATCAATGATGATACCAATCATCACATTTTTATAATGAAAACTAATAAACTAACATATATACTGTACAATGTGCAGTGTTATGTAAACATTAATGTACGATTTTAAATAAATATCTTTTTAAAATGTTATTATTTGTTGATTAATATCACTTTTTTTAATTCAGCGCTCTCACTCGGTGAAAATAATTATTAATTTTAGTTTAATTATTTAAATTTATGATTTGTGCTCGTTTTATTTGATTTAAAACCGGCTCTCAGTAGATGTACAGAATAGATATGCCAATCGTAATGTATTTATATGCTGTTCAGGAGGACAATAAGTTGCATAAGATATTTTTGATTGTGCAAGTCGTTATATTCAGCTTTATATCATAAAGAAATATATAATACATATGAATATATATTACAAAAATAGGGAATAAAATATTTGAAAAGTAGTAGCATAAACTGGTTTGGAATATCAATGATAATAATACCAGTCATGACATTCTCATAATGAAAACTAATATATAAACGGCGTACAAGCTGCAGTGTTGTGTAAATAATAACGTATAATTTTAAATTAATATTTTTTAATTTAATTAATAGTTGATAATATCACAAATAATTATTTTATTTTCTGATTTTTAATGATTTTATTAATTTAAAGCAGGTTCTCAGTGGATATATAAAATATACAAACTTATCATATTAGATTTATGTTGTTTAAGAGGACCGAATAAATTGTAAAGGATATATTTGATAGTGCATATTCTGTTATATGATAATATAATTACAAAAAATGTAATAATATTTATATTTTTTAATTAGTAGTATACACAATAGCTAAATATGTGTATAATGTAATGTTGTGTGTGTGTGTGTGTGTGTGTGTGTGTGTGTGTGTGTGTGTGTGTGTGTGTGTGTGTAAAAGTGTAATTAGAGTGTAAAATAGTTCATAATAATACCAGTCATGGCTTTGGGTTAATTAATATAATGAAAACTAATAAACTAATATAAATTAATATATAAACTGTGTACAATCTGCTGTGTTGTGTGAACATTAATTTATTATTAAAACATCATTTGGGAAATATTTAAAGTAGAAAAAAAATCAAATATTTTTTTTTATTTCCCAAATGATGTTTAACAGAGCAAAGACATTTTCACAGTTTGTCTGATAATATTTTTTCTTCTGGAGAAAGTCTTATTTGTTTTATTTCGGCTAGAATAAAAGCAGTTTTTAATTTTTTAAACACCATTTTAAGATCTATATTATTAGCCTCTTTCAGCTGTTTTTTTCGATAGTGTACAGAACAAACCATCATTATACAACAACTTGCCTAATTACCCTAACCTGCCTAGTTACCCTAATTAGCCTAGTTAAGCCTTTAAAGTCACTTTAAGCTGTATAGAAGTGTCTTGAAGAATATCTAGTCTAATATTATTTACTGTCATCATGACAAAGAGAAAATAAATCAGTTATTAGAGATGAGTTATTGAAACTATTATGATTAGAAATGTTGAAAACATCTTCCGTCTGTTAAACAGAAATTGGGTAAAAATTAAGCGGGGCTAATAACTCCCCCTGTTATATATATATATATAGAGCAGAAACACTAAATGTCACACTGTCAATCTTTTTCAGTATTGTGCAGCCCTGAAACAAGCACACATTCATGATCAAGCACAATGACTAGGATTAGTAACCAACTCTTAGCCTACTTTAGGGGGTTTTACGATAAGAAAGTCCATCAAACTTTGTCCTAATTTCTTCACACAGAAATATCTGTACATCATTATTTGCCTGACGTTTGATTTATTTCTAACTTACTATGGACTTTGTATATGCGTCTTCAGGATTTCAGTGATGCTAAATTATTAATCACATCCAATATATATATATATATATACATGCATGTGTGTGTGTTTGTGACAGAAGTTTTTACAGTGCAACAAAATAATGGTGACTGGAAAAAATAGCACAGATAATACACAGATAATATAAAATAAAGGTCATACAGGAATAAATAAAAGTACCTAGAGAGGAAAAACATGCTAATTTGGTATATTTTTACACATTATATTATTGAAATGTAAACAAAGTAGGTATTTGAATAAATAAAAGTGTGTATAAATAGTGTTGTTCCACTATTATTATCAAGTGTTCATTCATTTCTATGGAGGAAAACTCCTGTGTAGTACTGTTTTTCTCTAAATTGTGTGTGTGTGTGTGTGTGTGTGTGTGTGTGTGTGTGTTTCAGTGGTCAGATGTGGTTCTCCTGTGGGTTTGTGTTTGTCTTCATCTCTCAGACGACAGTCGACGGCCACAGCAGCGGCGTTCAACACCACAGCCACTCCAGAGACTAAAGAGAGCAGGTACACACACACATACTGTACACACATACTGTATACACACACTCACACACACACACACATACACACACACACACACACACACACACACACACACACTCCTATACAGACTCATACACGCTTATATACTGTACTCATATACACACACTGCCACAACCCCCCCTCACACACACCCAGTCAATAACACACACACTCTCTCTCACACACACATACACACACTGCCACAAACACACTGGCAAAAATAAAGTCCAAACACATGCGCTATAGCGGAATTGATTAACTAAATTGTCCGTAGTCTATAAGTGTGTATGGGTGTTCCCCAGTACTGGGTTGCAGCTGGAAGGGCATCCACTGCAAATAACATATGCTGGAATAGTTGGCAGTTCATTCGGCTGTGGCGACCTCTGAAATAGAGACTAATCGGAAGGAAGATGAACGAATAGAAGATTTCTAAAAGTCTTCAGCTTCAACACAAAAGAAAAGCTTTAAAGTGTGGAATATTTCCTGCTGTCTGGACTTCTCATGTGCAGCATTCTCTCAGGGTTTACATTAATGCTTTTAGCTGACGGTTTTAAAAACGGGGCTTTTCTTTTCTCCACTAAGTCTGACTCTTCTGCATGACTGAACATTCACTGAGATGACTAAAGAAATACTGTGTTTTCACTACAGAAAACCCAAAACAGGCATTCTGATGCTGAATATGGGCGGTCCAGAGAAGCTGGAGGATGTTCATGATTTCCTGCTGCGCCTCTTCATGGATACAGACCTCATGCAGCTGCCCGTGCAGAAGTAAGAAAGACTATTCAACATTTATAGGTCTAATATATACACTTCCTGACAAGTTTATTTTTTATTTTTATTATTTTTATTATTTTTTTTATTAACAAGAACCAGCATGTACAGTTTTCTTATACAATACAATACAATCACTTTACATTTCTTAACAAGAATGAAATGAGTGAAAAAACATAAAGGAGAAGAGAAAGAAAAAAAAACAGAGGAGAGGGTACATAATTATCAAACTACATATAAATATGTTTCGCACATTTTCCAATTTTAGTTATTTACAAGAGTTAGTAATGCACTTTTTTTTCTTTTCTTTTTTTTTTTTACAGGAAATTCATTTATACAAACATTTTATGTAAAAATGTTAAAGGGTCACGACCAAAACAACACCAGAACACATGTGTTGAGCTGTTGACAGTCATATATGTGTCACACACTGCTAAAAACACTATTAGGACACCTATATTTCACTTAAAAGTGTAAATTGGTTGTTTTTACGTTATTTCAAGCAAATTCGTACTTCCTGTTTGAAACGAATTTTTGAAGCTGCGTCACGGTCATGACATAATAGCGTGTATTCCAGCGTGCAGACTGGACGTCTGTGCCAGAGTGTGTCTTATTACGTCTTATAGTGTGCTGCATTAATGCATGAGTAAGGCTTGGTTCAAACCAATCAGCGCGCTCTATTGTGCAACTTCATTAATATTCATTAGTGTCACAGTGTTTAGACGGCAGAGACGCCACGTTGTGTTGGCAAAACAAGCGTGAAGTGTTGCTTTTATAGTTTGCTGCAGTGAAGTTTTGTTTTCATTTTCTCTCTGTGAGAGCGCAGCTGGAGTCACATGTGGATTAACAGTGTACGCGACGCTCGACAACAATAACTTGCGTGTCTGAGGAGGATTATTGTTTATCTGAGAGCTGTTCTCATCTGCAAACGCTGAGATCCGGATTCGCTTTAGTCTCCTCTTAATAAAGACGCGGCTCTAGCTTCTGGTGATTGTCCTGTCTCTACAGATTTGGTGAGTGAGCGACCAGCGCTCTTTGTTTATTCAGTTTGTTCGTATTGAACTAAGTTAACTATTGCACTGAGTGCAGAAATGTTAGCACTACAACCAAACCGCATTTTGTGACCGGAATAACACAGGCGGGTTTCTGACGCTACCTGCCGTGTGCATCTAAGTTTCCGGGAAATGCTGAGGTTTTTTTTTTTCTCTCTCATTCGCCGTGCGGTAGAGCAGTTCCTCGAATCAAATATCTCGTTTGTCGCGAGGGACATGAATGAATTCCCTGAATGAAAGAGCCAAACTGCAGTTAAAGTCCAACATTTAATAATTTGGCAAATAATTCGACAACAGATGTCCATGTAAACACAGTCGCGTGCCCAAATAGACACTCCCACAACGTGCCTCTTTTCTTCCTCCGACACTCCCCCCTAAACAGAGCTGGACACGCCCACTTTTCTGGCTTTTTCCAAAGTAGAGGTGTGAAAACACCCTGCTGAAACGAGGGGGTTTCATGGCCCTTTAAAGGAGGAGCATATATTAATTGTTTGAATTGCTTTTCTATTTTGAGACTTGGAAATCACTTTTATATACATTTGAATCTCTTTTTTTAACACCATGAAGAGAGGTTTGCTTTTGGAAAACTTGGATCCTGACAAGTCTTAGGAACACTTTGGTCTCAGTTTTATTTCTACAAATGTATTTAACTACAAATCTGTATTATTTCTACAAATATTATTCCAGAAATATACAATTTATTGTTTTTAATAACATTAATAATCCAATATATTACATTTCTACATTTTAATATCATCACATTTTAATTAGGTAATTTATTTGTTTATTTATTATCAATATTATCCCATAATTAGTATCCCATATATTTTCAGATACTATATTTGTCTGTCATTGTATATTATAAAAATAATAATGTGAAAATTAAAACTTAGACTTGTAGGTTTAGTAACTTAAGACTTATGATTGCATTCATATACAGCAACTCTGTGATAACCCGAAGTATCCTCACTTTAGAGAAAGTGTCTTGCTAAATGAGTAATTGTAACATTGGGAGTGAAGTTGTTTTATTGCCTCTCAAACACTTCTTTATTGCAGTAAACTCGGGCCATTCATTGCCAAAAGACGCACCCCAAAGATCCAGGAGCAGTACAGTAAGATTGGCGGAGGGTCTCCTATTAAAGCCTGGACCACCATGCAGGGGGAAGGAATGGTGAAACTGCTGGATGAGATGTGTCCGGACACGGGTGAGAGATTCACAGATAATACAGACTCAGATCATTCTACATCAATGCTTTAAGCTCTACAATATATTAGTTGCATCCAAACTTTGCTTGTCATATATATGCGTGTGTCATATACTGTTAAAGTCAGAATTATTAGAATTATTCCCCCGCCTGTATACACAGGGTGTCCGCGGGGTCTTAAAAAGTATTAAAAGTTGATAAATTAATTTTGAGAAAATTAATGCCCTTAAAAGATATTAAAAAGTCTTAATCTTAATCCTAAATCTTCCTCAAGCATTGTCCAAGTTTTTGTTCAAGTGTTTGACTCCAAAAAAGCATAAACATATTTATTTTCCTCTATTGTTTCGGGCCGGGTGCATCCGGCCAAACTCCTATCTCCATGAAGGTGATGTGATGCGATGCTCTCCACTTAGTGAAACCATAAAGCAGGGCTATTTAATCGGTGGCCCGCAAGGCAATTAGTTCCGGCCCTCCAAATACTGTGACCAAGACATCAAAAATAAATTTAGTTCAGTCGAAAAATTGCCGCTATAGTTATGAAGTGACGTGCATCTGTTCAAAACAGCACGAGCTGCAGTTGAAGGCTGCGCAGAGCGTGACGCCCCATTCACACGGGGTGTCAGCGTCAACGCTTCCCGTTCACTTTGAATGGGTGACGTCAGGCGTTGCCGAATAGCATTGTGGATCCGTTAGCCCCGCTTCAGAGGTGTTGCTCGCTGCAGAAGTTGGGACTAGCTCAACTTTAAGAGCTGACAGAAGCGTCAGCCAATCAGATCGCTGTATGCAAATACACCAGCTAGACAGTGGCCTATTGCTGACTGAATTTCATTGGCTGACGCTGCTATGACGATCACTTCAGACTCGCCTTCAGTCAAGCGTTGACGATGAAGCCCCCGTGTGAATTGGGCGTGAGTCACCTGACATTAAGCGAGCAAGTGGCGCGAACAGCTGAAAACATTTGGATACTTAAGCTTAAAGGCTTCTCAACGCCGCATTTCGGAACAAAACTACTGCAACTAAACAAAGTTATGCCACCTGTGCGCTAGTTTAAAGTTCAAAGCTTATATTACGTCTTTTCCACACGCAAGTTTATTATTTCCAATGTAAGAATATATGCCAATATACGCGCGCAAGCAGAGCGATGGCTTGCGCCTTTCAGACGCACTGAGTAGAAAACATCTCACGCTGTAGTAGTAAGAGTTGTGCGTGGCTCTTTGTGCATATTAAACAAAGAATACTGTTGAAAGCAGAAGTTTACATACACTGTATTAAAAGGCAGGTAACCATTTAAAGCAGGGGTCACCAAACTTGTTTCTGGAGGGCCGGTGTCCTGCAGATTTTAGCTCCAACCCTAATCAAACACACCTGAACAAGCTAATCAAGGTCTTACTAGGTGTACTTAAAACACCCAGGCAGGTGTGTTGATGCAAGATAGAGCTAAACCCTGTAGGGACACCGGTACTCCAGGACCAGGATTGGTGACCCCTGATTTAAAGAAAAGTCAGATGTTAATGTGACTAAAATTTTTCTCCTTTAGGTAAGTAAGGATTATCACATTTGTTTCTGTTCTGCATAATAGCAGAATAATGACAGAGAGAGAGATTTGTTGAGAAATAGTTTTAACTCTTCTTGAAAGTCAAGTTTGCACACAGTAAGATTATTCTGCCTCTGATAAAGCTCAGATGATGATGTCAAGGTTTGGGAGGTTTCTGATTGGCTATTTGACAACATTTGAGTTAATGTGAGGCACGACTGTAGAATAGTATTGAAGGAAAAGCTCAAACACACTGCCTCCTTGTGTGACAACATGGGGAAATCAACAAGCCAGAATCAGCAACAAAGCCAGATTACCATTAGCTAAATGACACTGGGAAAAACACTAATGTTTAGAGACATGTCCTGTCCTCTGATGGAGCTAAGATTGAACTGTTTGGCCATAATGAGCAGGGTTACATTTGGAGGACAAAGGGAAAAGTGCACAAGCCTAGAAACACCATCCCAACTGTGAAGTATGGGGGCGGCAGCATCATGTTGTGGGGCTGTTTTGCTGCAGGAGGGACTGGTCCACTTCACAGCATAGATGGCATCATGAAGACAGAACATTATGGAGAAATACTGAAGCAACATCTCAAGACATCAGCCAGGAAATTACAACTTAGCCACAAAAGGCTCTTCCAAACAGACCATGACCCTAAGCATGCTGCTAAATGAGTTCAAATGTGCTTTAAGGGCATCAAAATGAATGTTTTGGAGTGGCCATCACAAAGCCCTGATCTCAATCCTATAGAACATTTGTGGGCAGAGTTGAAAAAAAGCTTAAATACCTAATATACTAAACTTTTAGTCTGATTTACCATCAGACATTTAAAATAATGGTTATGTTTATCTTTTTAGAGTGCATGTAAACTTCTGGTTTCAACTGTATGTTAGACAAATTATTACAAACCATTCTCATCAAATCATTACGTATATATGAACGCAGATGATAACAACAGTTCATTTAAACACTTACCTAATATAAAGCTTACATTTACATTAGACGTAATAACCGTGAAACATGATTATTCTTCAGACTAAATAATCGTACAGCCAAATCTATAATCATTGCATCCATAATTGTTATACAGTTCAAAACAGAACATATATCTGAATGTGAAGAACATACGAAGAAGCCTACTGAAGCAATGCACTGCTTTTGTTGTGCTTTGAAATACAACATTTGAATGTCTGTAAAAGAAAAAGCCACAATGCACTGACCTTATGTAGTTTCAAAATACAATATATTAACATTTTAACTGTAGAAAAATACAATGTGGGTGTCTTAAGGAGGAAAAATACAGCATATGGGCTCTTATATGCTGTTGTGTCATCATCACTCATATTGCAAGTCATATCTCTCCGGGCCTTCATTTGGGGTGGTTTTCATGAACCGGCCCCCATGACAAATTAATTGAACAGCCCTGCTGTAGAGCAAAACAGACAGCAAAATGGGAAAATGCAAGTTTGCATCTCCTGGTTGAAGAAAGACGAGTATAAACAGTTGAAACTTGTTGCTGAAAATAACCATGTAATTTGTTCTTACAAGGTTGCTTCTTCTGAGCTTATCTAAGTTATGTTGCACGGTTGTGCTCCATTCATTTATTTAACTACAGCTGTTTATTAACAACTGCTTATTAAGTTAAAGGTTTGACACTGATTAGAACTCGAAGTGGCGATGAGTTCTTAAAATATTCTGAGACGGTCTTTAAAAAGTCTTCAAATGGATTTAAATTACCTTTAAATGATATGGGAAATAAGGCTAAACGCTATATCGTTTCAGCATCGAAATCGCTTTGTGGGAGTGCGATAGTCCGCATCTGCAATGTCAAGTTTTGATTTTATTTAACCAGGAAGCACAGTTCAGAGCACATGATGTGATTGCAGAATTTAACCCTAAAGTAATAATAATATTCTAATATAATATGATATAATATAATACAACCCGGGCGAAGCAGGGGGTAGTGTTGTCACCTCACAGCAAAAAGGTTGCTGGTTCGAACCTCGGCTCAGTTGGCGTTTCTGTGTGGAGTTTGCATGTTCTCCCTGCATTCCTGTGGGTTTCCTCCGGGTGCTCCGATTTCCGCCACAGTCCAAAGACATGCAGTGCAGGTGAACTGGGTAGGCTAAATTGTTCGTAGTGTGTGTGTGTGCGTGTGTGCGTGCGTGCGTGTGTTTGTGAATGTTTCCCAGAGATGGGTTGCGGCTGGAAGGGCATCCGCTGAGTAAAAATGTGCTGGATAAGTTGGCGGTTCATTCCGCCGTGGTGACCCCGGATTAATAAAGGGACTTAGCCGACAAGAAAATGAATGAATATAATACAACCCTAATATATTATATGAAAGGTTTTTATTGTGATGTGTTTTGATCTGCGACTAAGATTTCAAGTGAATTTACTCCATTTAGCCACAAGAAATGCTAAAGTTTGCCACTTTAACAAATAATGATGTTCATTTCTACAACAAAGACTCTGTGTGGGGTTATTTTACAGCTGTTTATTGAATTTATGTACTTTAATACTGTTAAACTCCACTGAAAACTATAAAGTGCTTACTATTTTATTTTTATTATTGTTTTGTTGTCTTCATTTGTGCTTTAATTTCTTTATTTGATATGTTTATGAATAATTTTGTACATCTGATGTCAGCTTACTGAAATGCAGTCAAACTTGTAGTCAAAATGTAGTGATGTTGATGTAGTCAAACTTCCAATTAAAGTAAAAATATGAATATAAAGCTATCTTGTGAAATTACAGTAGAAGTCAGAATTATTCGCCCCCCTTTGAGTTTTATTTTTTAAATATTTCCCAAATGATGTTTAACAGAGCAAGGAAATGTTCACAGTATGTCTGATAATATTTTTTCTTCTGAAGAAAGTCTTATTTGTTTTATTTCGGCTAGAATAAAGGCAGTTTTACATTTTTTAAACACAATTTTAAGGTCAATATTATTAGCCCCATTAAAGCTATATTTTTTCGATTAGTCTACAGAACAAACCATCATTAAACAACAACTTGCCTAATTACCCTAACCTGCCTAGTTATCCTAATTAACCTAGTTAAGCCTTCAAATGTCACTTTTAGCTGTATAGAAGCTGTATATATTGCTTTAAACTTCAAAAGAAATAATAGTTATGAATGGGAGATACTGTGAAAAATGTCTCGTTCTGTTAAACAACACTTGGGAAAGAATCACAATGTCTTCAGTGTTTTCTCAGCCTCTAATAGTGTTGGGTGTCCTTCTTTTGTCCTTTTCTTTCTGATGGTGTGGAGTGTCTTTTGTAACGGCTCATAAAGTAATCAGAGAGTAACACACAAACCGTCATCTTTGTTGTCTGTGTTGTGAGCTGATAAACAGCAGAGAGAAAAGAGTGTGTGTCAATGATAGATCAAGCTCAGAGGAGTGTCTCACACACCCTAAAACACACTCTCACACACACCTATGATAAACAGCAAGCTCTTCCACATCACTTCCTATTTGTTTCTCCTTTTGTGTAATTTTGACCGCTCTTTTTAGAAGTTTGACTATAATATATGTATTAATATTTTATAAGCCTTGCTTGGACAAGGGTTAAAATGAGTTGAAAAGTCTGCTGTAACACTTAAACAAATGCATATGTTTTGTTCAGTGTAATATAATTAAAATTAAAACGACAAAGGTAATGCTTGTTTTATACCTTTAAAACAAAATACTTATACTAATGCTAATAATCTAATTTATACATTTCTATTATACATTAATTTTTATTATACATTCATTTCTATTATACATTCAAATGTATAATAGAAATAACAAACATAATAATAATAAATAAAGCAAACTACGTTACATTAAAAACAAAGAAAGTTAGAAAAAAATAATAACTTGTGAAAAACTAATTTACTTTTTATTAATGTTTCTAATGTGTTAATGTGACTAAAAATGCTAGGATTTGGGTTTAATCTCTAGTAACCTAATAATGAAATATTGACAAATATAATCTTGAATTTAACCCCTAAAATATCATGTTAAAAAACAAATAAAAATTCATAAACTAAAAATTACTGTATAGAAATAATGTATAAAAATGTGTATTTATTATTATTATTATTATTATTATTATTATTATTATTATTATTATACACTGTAGGGATCTGTGCAATATAATTTGATTCATAATCAATTATAATAACGGTGTAAGATTGTTTCTATACGCATAAAAAACAAGTAAAATAAAAGTGAAAATGAAAATGTTTCTACATTAGTTTAAATAATTAAATAAACTAATTAATAAAGATGATGACGATGATAAAAAATAATTTCATTTAATTTAATAATACAAATATGTATAAATTAACTTGTTATTAATTGCAAAATTACAATGAATATATTTAAAATGATGATAATAATAATGCAAAATAATAATTACAATAAAACAAAGCTATAAAGGAGTGAATTAACCTTAAATAAACTTGGGTAAATGTGCAATTTTTGTATGTAAATGTGATCGTAAAATGCTATGATTTGGGTTTAATCAAAAGTAACCTGATGATAAAATATTTACAAACATTATATTGAATTTAACCCCCAAAATATTATATTAAATAAATAAAGAAAAATTCATAACCACAAACTTTATTTTAAAGGGACTGTATATTTAAATGTTTATTATTATTATTATTGTTGTTGTTATTATTACTACTACTAATAATATATATGCAACATGGTGATGTGAACATTGTAATTAAATAAATTTATTTTAAATAATTTAATTAATTTAATTCAATAATTGATATTATATTATATTTATTGTGTAATTTTCCAGAAAAAAGGCTTAAGCGTCGAAAAAAAAGGTACATTTATAAGTAAAAAATAGTTTAAGTAAAAAAAATCATAATGATAAAGCATAAGTGTTAATTAATTAATAAACAAATTAATTAATTTAAATAAATGAACAAATAAATAAAGAGGATGGCGATGATAAAAACAAAGTAAGAGCACAGGATAAACTAAGCATTAGCAGACATCAAATTGAGCAAATATCAACAAAACACAGACGAGTAATTTGACTCAAAACAAGACTAAATTGACATTTAACCAGGATTTCATTTGATTCAATAATGCAAATTTTTATAAATTAACTTCCAATTAATGGTAAAATAACAATGAATATATTAAAATAATTAGTAAAAATATTACATGAAAACAAAGCTAGAAAGAAATTAATTTAACCTTAAATAAACTTCTGTAAATGTGAAATCTTTTATATGTAAATGTGACAGTAGAAATCCTATGATTTGGGTTTAATCAAAAGTAACCTGATGATAAAATATGTACAATTATTATCTTGGATTTAACCCTCAAAATATAATATTCAATAAACAAATAAATAAACAAATATTCATAACCAGAATTTTATTTTAAAAGTACTGTATATTTAAATGTATAGTGTCATTATTAAAATTATTATTAATTATTATTTATTATTGTTAATATATATGCAACATGGTGATGTGAACACTGTAATTAAATTAATTTAAAATATATAATTTAATTAATTTAATTAAATAATTCATCATATCGATTGTGTAATTTTGCCAGGGAAAGGCTTAAGCGTAAAAAAAAAAGTAAATTTGTAAGTAAAAAAAATGTAAGTGAAAATAATCATAATGATAATGCATTAATTTCAATAAATAAATAAATTAACTAATTCATTAATTAATAAAGATTATGACCATGATAAAAAATGATTTCATTTGATTTAATGATACAAATATGAATAAATGAACGTGTAAGTAATTGTAAAATTATATAATTTACATATTTACATGTGTATTATTATTATTAATTTTAAAATAGCATAAAATTAAGTGAAATTGATCGTAATGATAATGCTTTAGTTTAAATAAATCAACTAATTAAATAATTAAAATAAATAAAGAGGATGATGATGATAAAAAAAAACAAAGTAGGAGGGCAACGCGGTGGCGCAATAGGTAGTGCTGTCGCCTCACAGCAAGAAGGTCGCTGGTTTGAGCCTCAGCTGGGTCAGTTGGCATTTCTGTTGGAGTTTGCATGTTCTCCCCATTCGTAAAACATATGCTGGATAAGTTGGCGGTTCATTCCGCCGTGAATAAACAGGATAAACAAAGCACTAGCAGACATCAAATTAAGCAAAGATCAACAAAACGCAAACGAGTAGTGCACAGTTAAGCAGGATTTCAGATAGTCTGAGGAACAGTGCTGGTGAATGTGTAATGAGTGATTTGTGTGTTTGTGTTTGTGCAGCTCCTCATAAGTTTTACATTGGTTTCCGGTACGTTCATCCGCTGACGGAGGAGGCCATAGAGTTGATGGAGAAAGATGGAGTGGAGAGAGCTGTGGCCTTCACACAGTACCCACAGTACAGCTGCTCCACCACCGGTAAGAGTTACAGATCATTTAGCATTTATAAAAGAACCTGTCTGCTGTAGCTGAACTCTGCTGTGTGTGTGTGCGCGTGTGTGTGTGTGTTATCAGGCAGCAGTCTGAACGCCATCTACAGATACTACAGTAATCGCGCCGACAGACCGAAGATGCGCTGGAGTGTGATTGACAGGTGGCCGACACACCCGCTGCTGATAGAGGTGAACACTGACGTTTACTCACACACCCTTTTTCTGCTCATTAATGCATTTTTACTAGCAGCCAGAAACATGAGTTTTGTAAGGGTTTAATGTCTTATTTCTGATCAGCGAACTGCGATTGATGTGATGTGTTTCCTGCAGTGTTTCGCGGAGCATGTTCGTAATGAGCTGGACAAGTTTCCTGTGGAGAAGAGAGATGATGTGGTGATTCTGTTCTCTGCGCACTCTCTGCCTCTATCTGTAAGTCTCTCCTCACCTTTCATTTATCAGCTTCGTACACTACACAGCTCTTCCCTCTGTGTGTGTGTGTGTGTGTGTGTGTGTGTGTGTGTGTGTGTGTGTGTGTGTTCGTGTTCGCTGTGTGTAATGAATGTTTCTTGTGTTCAATGTGTTCCATGTGTCATTTCTGTGTTCCATGTGTGATTCAAATGTACCATGTTTGTTCCATGTGTGTTCAATCTGTGTTCCATGGGATTCATGTGTTCCATGTGTCATTTCTGTGTGCCAAGTGTGTTCCATGTGTCATTTCTGTGTGCCATGTGTGATTCATGTGTTCTGTGTGTTCCATGTGTGTTCCATCTGTGTTCCTTATGATTCATGTGTTCCATATGTCATTTCTGTGTTCCAAGTGTTCCATGTATGATTAATGTATTCTGTGTGTTCTATGTAAGTTCAATGTATGATTTGTGTGAATTGTGTTACACCTGGGTTCCATGTGATTCATGTGTTCTGTGTCATTTCTGCGTTTCAAGTGTGTTCCATGTGTGCTCCATCTGTGTTCCATAGGATTCACGGGTTCCATGTGTCAATTCTGTGTTCCTAGTGTTTCATGTGTGATTCATATGTACCATCTGTGTTCCATATGTCATTTCTGTGTTCCAAGTGTGTTCCATGTGTGATTCATATGTACTATGTCTGTTCCATGTGTGATTCATATGTACCATGTCTGTTCCATGTGTGTTCCATCTGTGTTCCTATGATTCATGTGTTCCATATGTCATTTCTGTGTTCCAAGTGTGTTCCATGTATGATTAATGTATTCTGTGTGTTCCGTGTGTGTTCTATGTAAGTTCAATGTATGATTTGTGTGAATTGTGTTCCACCTGGGTTCCATGTGATTCATGTGTTCTGTGTCATTTCTGCGTTTCAAGTGTGTTCCATGTGTGCTCCATCTGTGTTCCATAGGATTCACAGGTTCCATGTGTCAATTCTGTGTTCCTAGTGTTTCATGTGTGATTCATATGTACCATCTGTGTTCCATATGTCATTTCTGTGTTCCAAGTGTGTTCCATCTGTGATTCATGTGTTTTATGTCTGTTGCATGTGTGAATCATATGTACTATGTTTGTTCCATGTGTGTTCCATCTGTGTTCCTATGATTCATGTGTTCCATATGTCAATTCTGTGTTCCAAGTGTCCCGTGTGTGATTCATGTGTACCATCTGTGTTCCGTGTGTGATACCATCTGTGTTCCGTGTGTGATTCAGATGTACCATCTATGTTCCGTGTGTGATTCATGTGTACCATCTGTGTTCCGTGTGTGATTCATATGTACCATGTGGGTTCCGTGTGTAAATCATATGTACTGTTTGTTCCATTTGTGTTCCATCTGTTTTCGTATGATTAATGTGTTCCATATATCATTTTATGTCAATTCTGTGTTCCAAGTGTCCCATGTGTGATTCATATGTACCATGTGTGTTCCGTGTGGGATTCATATGTACCATGTGGGTTCCGTGTGTAAATCATATGTACTGTTTGTTCCATTTGTGTTCCATCTGTTTTCGTATGATTAATGTGTTCCATATATCATTTTATGTCAATTCTGTGTTCCAAGTGTCCCATGTGTGATTCATATGTACCATGTGTGTTCCGTGTGGGATTCATATGTACCATGTGTGTTCCGTGTGTAATTCATATGTACCATGTGTGTTCGGTATGTAATTCATATGTACCATGTGTGTTCCGTGTGTGATTTATGTATTCTGTGTGTGTGTGTTCCATGTAAGTTCAATGTATGCTTTGTGTGAATTGTTACATATGGGTTCCATGTGATTCATGTGTTTCATGTGTCCTTTCTGTGTTCCATGTGTGCTCCATGTCTGATTCATGTGTTCCATGTAGCTCCATGTCTGATCCATGTGTTTCATGTGTGCTCCATGTCTGATTCATGTGTTCCATGTGTGTGTGTTCCAAGTGTGCTCTGTGTGTTTCAAGTGTGTTTTATGTGTATTCTATGCAAGTTCAATGTGCGATTTCTGTGAATTGTGTTCCATATAGGTAACGTGTTCCACGTGTGTGCCACGCATTGTGTTTGTTCCATGTGTGATCCTTGTGTAATCCATGTTTCACATGTGTATTCTATGTGTGATTCTTGCATTCCATGTGTGATCAATGTGTTCCATGTTTGTTCCATGTGTGATCAATGTGATCCATGTTTGTTCCATGTGTGATCAATGTGATCCATGTTTGTTCCATGTGTGATCAATGTGATCCATGTTTGTTCCATGTGTGATCAATGTGATCCATGTTTGTTCCATGTGTGATCAATGGGTTCCATGTTTGTTCCATGTGTGATCAATGGGTTCCATGTTTGTTCCATGTGTAATCAACGTGTTCCATGTGTGAATAATGTGTTCCTTGGTTGCTCTATGTGTGTTCTATGCATACAATGTGTGATACATGAGTTCCATGTGTGATCGTTGTGTTCCATGTTTATTCCATGTGTGATTCATGGGTGATCAATGTGTTGCATGGTTGCTCTATGTGTGTTCTATGCATGTAATGTGTGATACATGAGTTCCATGTGTGATCGTTGTGTTCCATGTTTATTCCATGTGTGATTCATGGGTGATCAATGTGTTGCATGTGTGTTCTATGTGGGCTTTGTGTCTTCCATACGTTCCATGTGTGATGAACATATTTTTGGAACACACAAAACATGTCCATCATGCATGGGATGCATGTGACAGTAAACACAAGGTACATGTGTAATGAAGGTTTCTCGTGTTCCATGTGTGATTATTGTGAGAATAGTTTGCTGGGTTCCATGTGTGTTTCCTGTGTGATAAATGCACTTGACATGTATCTTGTGTACTTCAGGTGGTGAACCGGGGTGATCCATACCCACAGGAAGTGGGCGCTACAGTTCAGAGAGTGATGGACCGACTGGGCCACTGTAACCCATACAGACTCGTCTGGCAGTCAAAGGTCAGTTTATATATATATATATATATATATATATATATATATCATAATATTTACCTTTATTGATTTTAAAAGTCATTGTAATTTAGTGCTTCATACATATTATGTGCTTCACATGATAGAGTACACCACACACAGATCTCTCCGTAACATTCATATTTTCTATAGAATGATTTTTAATATATATATATGTGTGTGTGTGTGTGTGTGTGTGTGTTCAGGTTGGGCCGATGGCGTGGTTGGGGCCACAGACAGATGAGGTCATCAAGGGTCTCTGTCAGCGAGGCAAGAGGAACCTGCTGCTGGTGCCCATCGCCTTCACCAGCGACCACATCGAGACGCTGCACGAGCTGGACATCGAGTACTCACAGGTCCTCGGAGAAGAGGTGTGTGTGTGTATATGTTTTTGTGACATATCAGGACAAATGTGTATCATGTCATAGGAATGACACCGGTATTAGAGACTGAATTATGAAGACACAGCTTCCTTTAAAGGGTTATGTGTAGGGTTGTGGAGGGGGACAAGGTTATAGTAGTTTTGCATTTTTCATTAGTTTTAGTTATTTTATTTTGAGTTTTTTTTTAAATGAAATTAGTTTTAACTAGTTTTAGAGGCAGATTTACTAGTTTTTATTTCTTTCTATATTTTGAAATTGCTTAGTTTTAGTTTCATTCATTCATTTTCTTGTCGGCTTAGTCCCTTTATTAATCCGGGGTCGCCACATCAGAATGAACCGCCAATTATCTAGCATATGTTTTAGGCAGCAAATGCCTTTCTAGCCGCAACCCATCTCTTGGAAACACCCATACACACACACACACACACCCATACACGCTCATACACTATGGACCATTTAGCCTGCCCAATTCACCTGTACCACATGTATTTGGACTGTGGGGGAAGCTGGAGCACCTGGAGGAAACCCATGCCAACGCAGGGAGAACATGCAAACTCCACACAGAAACGCCAGCTGAGGCTCGAACCAGCAACCTTCTTGCTGTGAGGCGACAGCACTAGCTACTGCGTCACCTAATTTTAGTTTAGTTTTTATTAGTTGTAGTGTTAGATTTATTTGTTTATTTTTTATAAATTAGAATATTTGTTAAGTGCTAGATACAAAATCATTAGACTCATCGGAATAATAACTCAACCAAAGATATCATTTTGAAACCTGTATGCAGAGGACACATGACCACTACCATCAATCCATCCTCACATTCAAATACAACATCCCACTAGATAGCAGGCCTAAGTACCATTCAATATGTGTAAACAACATTTATTTTTCCTTTCTAGTTTTCGTTTTTTCGTTCGTTTTCGTTAACTATATTAACCTTGAAGGGGGATAGAAAATACAGTTTGTACTGTATAAAAGCAATGAATACCTGTCTGACTGTCCCCACAATTCACAAAAACAAACGTGTGTGTGTGTGCTCATGAACATCAGAGCCTTCATTTAAACCACATGTTTTCAAAATACAAACGTGTTTTGGTTTGCTGTTAAGGTGTGGATTTTTGCGTGTTTGTAAAATTTTCTCTTATTGTTAATTAAAATTTTTATGATATAAATTTCTGTAATTTATTTTGCTACTTAACGCTCAAACAAACAAACAAACATAAAAGTGTTGCCGTGTGTGTGTTCAGGTTGGAGTGGAAAACATCAGAAGAGCAGAATCTCTGAATGGAAATCCACTGTTCTTCAGGGTAAGATCAGCTCAACGTTATCAACAACATCATCATATCAATAATAATAATGTCAGTATCGACCCGCATGCGCTCTTCAGGTCTGGATGTTCACCAGTCCGCTATAGGAACTGCACATTTATTTTGTAGCTAGCTCTAGTCTATTCTCTGTGTGTTTCTGAGCTTGGTTTGTTAACTGAGTTAGGGATGTGTGTGTGTGTGTGTGTGTGTGTGTGTGTGTGTGTGTGTGTGTGTGTGTGTGTGTGTGTGTGTGTGTGTGTGTGTGTGTGTGTGTGTGTGCATGTGTGAAAGAAACTCCACCGCGGCCCACTGAGTTTATTAAAACCCCTGAAATCAATCAAGACTTTAGCTGACTGAACACATCACACACACACACACACACACACACACATACACACACACACACACACACACACATATACACACACACACTTTTCCCGTTTCAATTCAGTGCTCTCTGTTTCAGTGTAATCTGTATCAGTGACCTTAGAAGTGTTCAGTTAATTTCTGTGCTGTCGGTTTGACATAATCATATTGTTAAGCTCAATAACTCATAATATATAAATATGCAGCACACAAATCCTGGATAAAATAATTAAAAATACTATTATTTTTGATGTATAATATTAAAATAATTTTTATTAAAAACGTCATACATTATACATTTAATTTATGGATGTTGTCGTTTATTTGACTTAATTCATTGTTTAATTTTAATATTAGATATAAATAATAATTACGTAAATAGATTTGTATATTTATTTATGCTTCTGTCTGTATCTGTAGTGAGTGTGCATGTGTGTGTATGTATTTTTAAATTAAGATGGTAAAATAATAACAATAATACAATAATTTCATGCGTAAAAATTGTAAGTTAACAGACTAATTAAATGGGTATTTCAGAAAATGTCAATTTATTGATGATTATTTTTGTTTTTTAATTAGATTAATTTCCTCAAGCTGTAAGTGTATGTGTGGATATATTCACTTATCGGCCACTTTATTAGGTACACCTCTCCAACTGCTCGTTAACGCAAATTGGCCAATCACATGGCAGCAACTCAATGCATTTAGGCCCCGTTTACACTAATGCGTTTTCGTTTTAAATCCGTCCACACTACACTGGAGTTCTCGAGCGCTGAAAACGGAGCGTTTCGAAAACGCTGGAGAGGCCGTTTCATCCTAAGACGCTGCTGCTCCGTCTCAGTGTGGATGGGGGAAAACAGAGACATCTGAAAACAGAGGCGGGGCTGCTGACATTCTGATTGGGGCTTTTCCTCAATATTAAGTAGCCGACACACACAGTTCAGTCTCGCATCCTCTCCTTGTAAGTTCAGACTTTGCAAGTTTGATATGGAAAACAGACTCTCAAGGACATGTCCGGTAAATCTTCAAAGGGAACAGTGTACTTTAAAACCTTATTCACATCATCCTGGCTACATTGTTTCACTTTCTCATTCATTCATTTTCTTGTCGGCTTAGTCCCTTTATTAATCAGGGGTCGCCACATCGGAATGAACAGCAAGTTTTCATGCAGCGGATGCCCCTCCAGCCGCAACCCATCTCTGGGAAACAACCACACACACACTCATACACTATGGACAATTTAGCCTACCCAATTCCCCTGTAACGCATGTCTTTGGACTGTGGAAGAAACCCACATGAAGGCAGGGAGAACATGCAAACTCCACACAGAAACACCGACTGAGCCGAGGTTCGACCCAGCGACTTTCTTGCTGTGAGGCGACAGCACTACCTACTGCGCCACTGCCTTGCCCTGTTTCACTTTCTCAACAGTAAAATGAAAACATGATGTAAGGAACTGCTATTTTCATTTTGATATTAACAAGTTAACAGACAGCAGAAATGCTGAGGCGTCGTGCTGCATCTTCACTGTGTGCATATTTATAATACAGAGCTCATATAACATCACTGCCTCCTTTCATTTTCATTTAAAATACGAAACGTATCCTCTGCTTTGCTGAATGTCAGTTTTAATAAACAATAATAGCCATTATTAAAGTATAACGCACTAAGTTTAAACGTTATAGGAAATAACGGCAAGCGATCAGTCAATATACATAATGTACGGGGTTACGTTAATTATTAACTGATCTTTGCGCTCAGCCAAAACACGTTACCTGTGAACAAGTAATCGATTCAGAAGATCAAAGTCGGGGAATATGTCGTTAGATAAAGACGATAAGATTAATTAAATGTAACGTTTAGCAAATATAGTGAGATTAGATCCAGCAGGGGATGCTTGATGAGCAGTCCGACCAGCACAGCTCTCATCTGGATAGAAATGCTGCAGCGCGTGCCAGAGAGTGTGTGTGTGTGTGTGTGGTCACGTGATGTGCGTTTTAGTGTGGACGGAGAGCTGTTCACAAACGCTGGGTGAAACACTAGTGTGGACGCGGATCTTTTTCATTCTAAAACCCTGTTTTAAAACTAAAACGCACTAGTGTAAACGGGGCCTTAGGCATGTAGACATGGTCAAGAGGATCTGCTGCAGTTCAAAGCGAGCATCAGAATGAGCAAGCAAGGGGATTTAGGAGACTTTGAACATGGGATGGTTGTTGGTAAAAATGTTCCTCTTGGCTTTTTTTCATTGTGTGTGTGTGTGTGTGTGTGTGTGTGTGTGTGTGTGTGTGTGTGTGTGTGTGTGTGTGTGTGTGTGTGTGTGTTTCAGGCTTTGGCTGATCTGGTTCAGTCTCACCTGCAGTCTAATGAATCATGCTCTCGTCAGCTGACCCTGCGCTGTCCGCTGTGTGTGAACCCAACCTGTGCTCAAACCAAAGCCTTCTTCTCCAGCCAGAAACTCTGACCGCCGTTCATCTCTCATCTGGACAGCAGCGGCTCCAGGTGTGTGTGTGTGTGTGTATGTGTAAAGATTACGGACAAATAAACGCTCAAGTGCCGCACTCACCGAATGACATGCACTTTTACCCAGACTTGTGTTCCAGCAGCTGAAAGCATCCACATCTTCATCTATCTGTGCAGATTCTCCTCATACGTGAATGTGTCTTCCCTTAAAGAAACACTCCACGATTTTTGTAAATAGGCTCATTATACAGCTCTCCTAGATATATGTACCATATTTAAATCCATTTAGCCAATATCTGGCTCTGCAGGTGCAGTTTTAGCTTAGCTTAGCATAGATCATTAAATCGGATTAGACCATTAGCATCTCACTTAAAAAAAAATGACCAAAGTGTTCTGATATTTTTCCTATTTAAAGCTCTTATTAAGAGAAACAGATTTAAAGGTTGATGTTTTCTAGGGTGATATGACTAAGATCTCTACTTTCAATCTGGCGTAACAATCAAGGAGCGTTGCTGCCGTAGCAGGCGCTAGAAAATAATAATAGCAAAATAGCAACATTTAATTTTCAGTCAGTCTTAGTACCTGATGAATCTACAGAAGAGTCACACTTTAACTAGTAAAATTAAGAAAACTCTGATAATCTTTGAGTGAGATGCTAATGGTCTAATCTGATTCAATGATCTATGCTAAGCTAAGCTAAAAGTACTCCCGACTGACCCAGTAACGGCTTCAATAATGGGAAAACTCAACTGTGGAGCTGTGAAATGAGCCTATTTACAAAAACGAGGAGTGTCACTTTAAAAAACAAGAAATGCAGACAGAGAACATGCAATGTGAGCAGTCATCTGGGAACAAATGATACGATAATTAAACATGGTGCTAACATCATGCACATGTAATTGTGCATCAGGTCAGCTTCAAATGAACAGCTGACAAGAACAACCATATACTATTCTTTTATTACTCAGTGTTTTCTCTGTATGGACATGCTTAAATTAGATGCATTTACTGGAGAAACAAAATTGCTTGGGGTATATCTTCATTTTTTAATTAATTAACATTAAATAATCATTGACTTGCTTAAATTAAATGCATTTGCTAAAAAAGCTCTATTATTTAGGGTATATCTTTGTTTTGTTTTATGTATTTTTTTTTTTTATTATTTTCCTTCATTTATTTGTATTTATAATGCTTAAATTGACATTTAGTTTATTAATTTCTAATTTTCTTCTTGGCTTAGTCCCTTTATTAATCCGGGGTCGCCACACCGCAATGAACTGCCAACTTATCCAGCACGTTTTTACGCAGTGGATGCCCTTCCAGTAAGCTTCACATGCTTAAATTAGATTTGTTTACTGGAGAAACAAAATTGTTTGAGGTTTATCTTCATTTAATTTAATTTATTTATTTTCTTTTGGATTTTGTATTTATAATGCTTAAATTAACATTATTATGTATTGCCATGCCTAAATTAGATGCATTTACTGAATACGCTAAATTGTTTGGGGTGTATCTTCATTTAATTTAATTAATTAATTTAATTATTTTCCTTCATTTTGTTTTATTTATAATGCTTAAATTGACATTAATAAATTATTGATGCATTTACTGAATACGCTAAATTGTTGAGGGTTTATCTTCATTTAATTTAATTAATTAAAAAAAAAATTGTATTTATATTGCTTAAATTGACATTTATTTAATTAATCACATGCTTAAATGAAATGCATTTACCAGAGAAACAAAATTGTTTAGGGTTTATCTTCATTTAATTTAATTTATTTATTTTCTTTTGGATTTTGTAGTTATAATGCTTAAATTAACATTAATATGTATTGCCATGCCTAAATTAGATGCATTTACTGAATACGCTAAATTGTTTGGGGTGTATCTTCATTTAATTTAATTAATTAATTTAATTATTTTCCTTCATTTTTTTTATTTATAATGCTTAAATTAAAAAATTAAAAAATACCAGAGAAACAAAATTGTTTAGGGTTTATCTTCATTTTCTTTTCTTTTGTTTATTTCTTTTCTTTTGGTTTTTGTATTTATAATGCCTAAATTAGCCTTCATTAATTATTGACATGCTTAAATTAGATGCATTTACTGAATACGCTAAATTGTTTGGGGAATATCTTTATTTTATTTTATTTTATTAATACATTTTATTATTTTATTTTAATTGCATTAATAATGCTTAAATTGACATCATTTATTGACGTGATGCATTTACCAAAGAAGCTAAATTGTTTCAAGTATATTTTCATTTTGGCGATGCAGTGGTGCAGTAGGTAGTGCTGTCGCCTCACACCAAGAAGGTTGCTGGTTCGAGCCTCAGCCGGGTCAGTTGGCATTTCTGTGTGGAGTTTGCATGTTCTCCTTATATCCTGGCTGAGTTGGTGGTTCGTTCCTCTGTGGCGACCCCAGATTAATAAAGGGACTATGCCGAAAAGAAAATGAATGAATGAATATCTTTTTATTTTTAATTTTAATATTTAGCTGAAAATAACTTACTATATCTGGGTCAGAAGCATAATCTTGATTTCCTTATTTTAATCAAATTTTATTTCAGAAACAAAAGCTAATTATTTGCATTAGTTTTAAGCGTAAATTGATTTAATTTTTGACTTATTTAACATCCAAGTAATTTTGTTTCCCTAAAAATCTTGCAACTTGATTTATTTATGTTTTGATGTTTACTAGAAAACAACACAAGATGCTGAGTAAGAAAGTAATGTGCTTTTCCTTTATTTCTTCTGTGGAGATGAGCTGAAAAGCTCTTAAAAATCTGCAAAAGCAGAGTGGGCAGTGAGGTGTAAATGTTCCTCTGTGTTGAGTTTCTTCGCTGCTATTTTGCTTTACCTGAACACTTCCTAAATGTACAAGTGGTTCAAACTCGCTCATTTTGAGGCAGGAACCGGCGGACGTGCAGCAACTTTAACTATGAGATAAACACAAAACAAAACTTTCCATCCGGAGCTCCTTCACGAGACTCCACACTTGTGAAAATAGTGCGGCCTTCCGTGTCAACAAAATTCTGTCCAGCAAACTCACAAGCAGTTGAACTGTGCATACTTATCTACCTTTTAAGTTGTCGGAGCGTTTTATTTACTCGTCCTCGCCTCCTTGACCATAGTATTCCACTGCAACATCGCACACAGGAGATAAACAACGTCAGTATGTAATAACCTCTTATCATCTATTACTGAACCAATACCGAATTGTTCCCATCTGCATCACGGTGCACTGAAGAAACAATTAATTTTGACACCCCTAGTATTACCTACTCGCTCTCGCCTCCCTCACCATAGTATTCTAATGCGACATAGTGCATAGGAGATAGATGACGTCACTACACAATAACCGGTTGTGATCTATTACCGAATTGGATACCGAATTGTCCGCATGAGCATCGCGGTGCACTGAAGAAACAATTGATTTTAACACCCCGACTGATGCTCATATTTGATCGCATACGGTAACCCAGCAGGTTTTACAGGGTTAAACATGTCTCCACAGAAGAACTGAAGTGTTTGGAGAAAAAGTGTGTTTGACCTTTGACCTCTGAGCCTTCGACATGGTGTGCCTTTCAGCCTGTGCTTTAATGATCTACAATAAACACTCATCAGTGTGTGGAGCGCTAACACTGGAGCTGATGTGTGTGTGTGTGTGTGTGTGTGTGTTATTTATTTTTGCTTATGTTTTTGAGTCTTGTGATGTAGAAATCTTACCACATCTCT